AGAAGTCAGTGTCAAGATCAAACAAAACATTGGTTCATTTCTAAGTGACTTTCAAGTTAGAATATTTAAAAAGCAATTGAAAGAGTAAGAGGGAAAGATTCCTTCGGAAATACACACATATATAAAATAAATATGGGACAAGTGAGACAGCCAGCAGATAAAGGCTCGTATAGCCAGTCTGGACAACCTGAGTTTGATCCCCAGGACCCACATGATGGAAGGAGAGAACCAACTCCCAAAAGTTGTCCCCTGACCTCCACATGTACTGTGTACCACCACACAATAAATAAATAAAAAGAAATTTAAAACATAATCAAAAATTTGTAAACAAACAAAAAAAAACATGCATGAAGGAAATTACATATTTTAGAGACTTGAGCACCATTACTGTCCTCAGTAAGAAGGACAAACAGACAAAGTTTGCTCCAACAGCTACCTTCTGCTGATAAACTCCAAGAAACTTGTGCTGGGAGATGTCTTAGATACAGAATTAGAACTGCAGTAAGGAAGCCATAATGTGTACCAACCATCCAAGAAATCAGATCGCTACCCTGAAATCAATAGTGTGAGATAAGGTCGGAGTGTTGGCCAACCTCCTCTACAGTCACGCTAAGGCGAGTTAGAAGATAATGAACCTGAGAGATCCACACCTCCCTAGCCTGCGTTTTGTGATGCCGTGAAGAACTAAGAGTTCCTTAAAGTTGCATTTCCAGGACCCGACTGAAACACTCCCAGACCCACAGTCTTCCAGCGTTATTGGAAAATTTTTGGAAGAAAGATTCAAAAGCATCTCTAATGTTTATTGTTCTTTCATGTTCCAGGGGCTGTGCCAAGAAGCGCTGTCTGAGCACAGATGCCCTCAACTGAGATCCAGTCAGAGAGTTAGTGTCTGCCACTGGCCACATGGAACTGACAGGGGGCCCATGCTTATTTTTTAAGTTAATGAATTAAACTTTGCTATAAAATTAATAGAACCACATACTGAAAGTATGGAGGAAGCAGGAAAAAAAGTAGTTATTATCAATTCTAGTTCAGTAATGCCTTCATCTGGATGCTTCAGCTTTCTTCTTACTAATAAAACCACTTTAAAGGCGAAAACTCTAGTTTCTTTTACAAAATGGTCTTGAAGTTTTACAAATGGAACTGGTAAGCATATCACACACAGGAGGACAGGTTTAACTTCCAAAAGCGACAAAGCTCCAAGACGTGCTTATGGAGGAGCAAAGGGCAATGTATGGAGCAGGATTTGAATTTTGGCTTTGCGGGATTCCTGCTCTACCCACGCTGTTCTGAACTGTCATTCCAGAGCCCATTAATAAAGTGTTCCCATGGACTTGGGACACACGATGTGTATTACACCAGGATTTGGCTTGCTATTGTTACTTGCTGTTTTATTATCTATCCTTGGTGGCACAAATAACTAGAATACAGTTAATTATAATGGCATTCAGCACCAAATCCTTTCACAGTGCCACTTTAACTGTGTTTTAAAATCAAATGTTTTAGTGATAAATACTATGAAGTGCATAGGGGGTGGGAGGGGGGTGCAATTGATAGAAGTCATTGGAAACACCTGGATCTATGGAAACCGGAGTCTTTTTCATTGATTTCTCCTGCAGGGACAGAAATACTATTCATTCTCTATCTCAAAGGAATTCGTTGCAAATTGAATTACCTTTCCCGACAGCATCGCTTTCATGGGCTTCCTTCAGATCTCTGCCTCCCCTTCCATAGGGGAGCAATCATCTGTCTTATGAACTGACCCTCTCCCTTTAGCAGATGAACTTAATATAAATTTACCCAACCCTGTCACTCTCCAAAGGAACAAACATTGTGATCTTCTGGAGGCTTTTCAATCATTGCCACAAGCCAAAGAAGGGGATTTGGCTAATGAAGTTGCTTTTCGGCTCCACGAATCCAGGGAGCATTTCTTAGCTCACTGTGTATATGGACAGACTCTCCAAGGGAGCTGAAATTCCATCGATATCCAGTGACTTAAAATTGAATGGTTTGAATGAGTTCTGTGCAGTCTTCATAGTTTCCATGTTACAAAATCAAAATTATGCTGATGTAAATCCCATTATCAAAAAACCCTCTCACTCAGTCTGTACTACAACTCATTTCTATAATTAACTCATCCAAAACTCTAGCTATCTCTTTGGATAATGGCAGAACCACTCATAATAGCTTACCTATTTCACATGTTAGTGTGTGTGTGCTCTTTATTAGTTGCTTGCTGTGGCAAATGTGTTGTTCTGATTGGTCAATAAATAAAACACTGATTGGCCAGTGGCTAGGCAGGAAGTATAGACGGGACTAACAGAAAGGAGAAAAGAAAGACCAGGAAGGCAGAAGGAGTCACTGCCAGCCGCCGCCAGGACAAGCAACATGTGAAGATGCCGGTAAGCCACGAGCCACGTGGCAAGGTATAGATTTATGAAAATGGGTTGATTTAAGCTATGAGAACAGTTAGCAAGAAGCCTGCCACAGCCATACAGTTTGTAAGCAATATAAGTCTCTGTGTTTACTTGGTTGGGTCTGAGCGACTGTGGGACTGGCAGGTGACAGAGATTTGTCCTGACTGTGGGCAAGGCAGGAAAACTCTAGCTACAGTTGCTCATCAAGCCTAAGCAAGAAAGATCATAAACTATTTCTGAAGATTTTGTGTGTGTGTGTGTGTGTGTGTGTGTGTGTGTGTGTGTGTGTGTGTATCCTCAGAAGTCAGAAGAGGGCATCAGATGCCCTGGAGCTAGAGTTACAGGTAGCTGTGAGCCACCCTATATGAGTCCTGGGACCTGAACTCTGGTCCCCTGGAAGAGCAGCAGCTGCTCTTAACCACTATCCACCCAGCCCCCGCAGACTTTCAATAAAGATGCTAAGCACCAAAGCTCCATGGTTAGACTGTCCATCAGTTCTCCATACTGATGGCTACCCGAGCAGCAGAACTTTTTCTTAACTACTGACATAGTGGGAAAAGGAGACTGTTTACATTGTAAAGTTTTATGGCTTGTTGACATTGCAATGTTTTTGTTTTGTTTTAGGTTTCTGGGCTTTTCTCTCTATTAAATTGAGACCTTAAATATAAACCTTTCAAACTTAATGGCAGGATTCTTAAATTTTGGTCTTTAAGTGTCTTCTTTGCCATTAGGTTTCTATCTCATTAATCAGTATTTATTACAGCTCTACCAATTCTAACCAAAAGATTCCTGTCAAATTAAGAAATACATATTAATGGCTCGGGCTGCTGAATTGAGCTTTCCAAGGGTTGGTCACTAATTGTTTTGATATGTCTTGTCCCTCTGTTTTTCCTCCAAATCTTTCTACAGACAGCAACTAATAATATTGCTGAAGTTAAATGACCTTTTGAGCAAGCTCTAAATAAATGCTTCGAGCATTTTAGGGGTTCTCTTCCCTCCAAGCATGGTCCCATTCCATAGGTATACATCGAAGAGAGTGAATTACGCCTATGTGATATTTTAGATGTTGAGGATGCCTGAGTTCCCAGAGGGAAAAATGATTGCTCTCTCATCACATGAATTATTTGTTAAGAAGTGTCTTCTCATATAAAATGAACAATCAGACCACAACCCATAGAACCATAGAGGCTATATATATA